CCCACCCGATCCTGCGGCGCAGACTGGAAGGTTATTTTGAGTGCCTCAAGTGATTCGCCTTTTCTTCCTTCTCCCCATCACGCTGCGATTTCCGTTTCAGGGAAAGGCCGTGGTTGAAGGATTATTGCCACCACTCTTTGGAGGGGAGAAGAAAAGAAAAAAGGACTTGTATAACGCCCCGTGTCTCTCCTCTCTTCCACGCGCATCTAAGACATATTTCACCACCGACTTGAGTGCGACAACAAACGCTCCCCCGTGGCAGATTTCTCCAAGAACTTATTAAAGAGCCAACAAGCCTCTTTCGTCTCACTCTTTTCGAAACTCCTTAACGCCGAAAGCTTTTCATCGCCCAATATGGTTCTCGTAAACGCTCAGGACCCCATGCCGCAGGCCGCGGCGGCGCAGAGAAATGCGTTGCCGGATTATGTCACCACCCCCAACGCCGTCTTTAGCGATGAGGGTGTGCAGTGGAGATACGGCAGGGCGCCAGATTACACGAAAACGCGCAAAGTTTGGAGAGAAGGTAAGATCACATCACTCTCAAAACGTCATACTTCTATCCACCCGGTGTATTGGGAGGTCTCAAACTGACAATACTACTTCTCTAGGCAGGAAGATGAACCACAAGGCGGGCAGTCTCGAAGAGATTGTTGAGAATCTGGTGAAGAACTGGGAGGTTGAAGCCTCTTTCAAGACGAAGCTCGACGACTGGAGGACCGTCGACCACGCCAACTACACCTTCTCCGTGAACGGCGGCGCGCCGCAGACGGGCGAGCACATGCTCAAGGTCGGCACCTACAACGCCGTCATCACGCCCAACGAGTACTACAGCCCAGACTACTCAGACTTTGCATCCAGCCACAAGACGTTCAAGCGCATGATGCCCACTTTCGCCTGGGAGGTCATTGAGGTCTATAGTGGCCCGCCGTGCATCGCATTCAAGTGGCGTCACTGGGGGGTCATGAAGAATGACTACGTCGGCTTCAACGAGTGAGCGTGCTTCCCCCCCCCCCCCCCTCCTCACACTGTTCTGTTCGACGTGCCTCTGCTTTGCCACCCTCATTTAGCAGACATCTGTCATTTTCTTCTTATTCGGTTGTGGCCGTGTAACTGCGACTGACAAAAATGCACGTGTACAGCAAAGGAGACAAGGTCACCGCCAAGGCTCACGGTGGACAGATCGACATTGAAGGTGTGACGATCGCGCGTGTGGACGATCAGCTGCGACTGCAGGGCGTGGACACATGGTTCGACTCACTGCAGATGTTCCGGCAGATTGCCCCAGATGGCGTGGTGAAGAAGGAGGCCAAGACTGATAACCGCGGCCCGGAAGCGAGGTTCGATGAGGCGGTGGCACAGGATGTCCAGCTGTCGGCGGAGGACATAAGCAAATTGCACACTGATGTTGTTGATAGCAAGAGGTCAGGAGGGTGCCCGGTGATGATGAATAGAGAGTAAGGCAAATGTGGTTGGTCGGGGTGTGTATAGAGACTAGTGAGGCTATGACGTGATGGTCAACATGAATATCCAAGCAAAATACATAAGGCGGCTGAGAGGGAGCTGAGGGAATGATGAGGTTTCTTTCGATTAATAATGAGATACAACGTCTGTCAGCGTTACAGATCCCGTCATGTTGAGCTTGTGTATGTGTCGCTGCAGCCCGCGAGGCTACTGACAGGGTAATCGGCTCCACGGGGCATCTATGCGAAGTTCATGATGTATCCAGATCCGCGGGCCTGGTACATGTTATTTGATGCACTGCCCATCTGCGGTAGGCAAACGAAGCTGCGGTGCCGGCATTGTTCCCGGATTCCGCGGCGGGTCCAGCCGTTCTCGGTCTTTGACACCACTCCTCAAATTTGCTTCAAGCTACCCCAAATATCAAGACAGGGGAAAAAGATATTGATAACGAGGGTCTGGAATTCGCGATAACAAGGTCCAGATTTCATTTTTGATCCTTCAGATTTCGGCTCGCTATCTCTCCGAAAGCCTGCCTATCGCTCTGAACATGGATCATTGACAGCTGCCGATAGACGTACTGAAGAGAATCGTTCCTGAGTGCCAAGATCTCAAATACAAGGGCTCCTGGAGATCTACAGCATCAAATCACTCATGATGCACTCATTGTTCAACCGACTACCTGGGCGTTGGAGACTTATGAAGGGCATTGACCAATGGAAACCGCCACTTTATTGTACCTGAAATATCTCCAGCCCTTATGAGAGGTAGCACAATGAAAGCCGACTCAAAGAATGCGAACAATTTCTGTCTTTGCAAGTCTCGTCATTTAGACAGCTCTTGCGCGATCAGTTTCTGGCGGGGACTTCGACCTTGGTTGTGGGACTTACAAGGATGTCAACAACAAGAGGGGTCAAACCACCGGCATGGAATCGGCTCTATCTCTCCATGTAACCTCATATAAATGGTGGATGAGGGGGTCTTGGAAATGGTTTTCCAACTCTTAGAGTTATTCCAACTCACCTTCTTTCAACCGTGTTTCCGTCTGTGTTCGTCGCCATGTTCGCGTCGCATACCCAAGGCGGTTCCTGGCTTAGGGCTGGAGCCATTGGCGCCTTGCTCTTTGCTGCTGCATCGGGAAGTCCAATCGTCGGCAACAGCTCTCTGGTTATTCATATCCCATCGTACGGATCCTATGTCGGAAAGACTCTATTTAACACTACGTCCGGTTACCCGCTTGCGAGTCCGGTGGACGTATGGTATGGCATCGACTACGCAGAACAACCCATCGGCGACCTTCGTTTTGCTCCGGTCGGCTGGCCATCTTCCTCGAACGGAACAAAGGACGCCACGTCGTATGGTAAAGTCTGCATACAAGAGCCTGGAAACTCAAACTTGGTCACGTTTATCACGACCGCACTGGAGTACGGCGAGGACTGCCTCAACCTCAATGTCTACAGGCCGACGGGCGTGAGCGCTGATGAGAAGTTACCCGTTTTGGTTTGGATTCATGGCGTGAGTCTCGCTCCGACCTTTTTATGACGTATTCCAATTGATTGCCAACTGACTGGGTTCATAGGGCCTTTTCCGCAACGGCGCTGGCATCACCTTTGACGGAGCTTCACTCGTTGCCTCCTCCCCAGAACCACTGATTGTCGTGACGTTCAACTACAGAGCATGTCCATTCTCAATATCCCAAAATTGAGGATTCTCACTAATATGGACTTCTTAGCTGGCCGCTCTGGGCTTCCTAGCAAACCCCGTCCTCTCAGACCTCGGCAACGTCAACCTCGGTCTCCAGGATCAACACCAGCTTCTCCGCTTCGTCCATCGGCACATCTCCGCATTTGGAGGTGACCCCGAACGCGTCACTCTGGGGGGCAAGTCAGCAGGCGCTCACTCTGTGGGCTTTCACTACCAGAATACCTTCACTCCTGGCGAAGAGCTATTTCAGCAGGCAATCTTCCAGTCTGGCGGTCCAACGGGACGGTCGTTTCCCAGCGCTTCGGACCCGTTGACGGTTAGGCAGTTTGAGCAGTATGTGAGCGGAGTTGGTTGTCAGAGTAATGAAACCGCTGAGAATTTGCTTTCGTGCTTGAGAGCCGTGGATGTTGAAGTGCTTGAGGAGACGGCGACTGCTTTGCTAGCGGCGTATCGATACAACGGCACCCATCCTTTCCAGCCTGTGTCTGGTGAGTATTCCTCATTCTCCTCGACGACTCCGCCTTGCAGGATAATGATATTAAATCTGGTAAGACTAACTTGCTTCTCAGATGCTGTCATCATTCCGCGTCTCCCGTCCGAAACCTGGGACTCTAACACATGGAACCACCTGCCGGCGCTGACATCGTTCATCACCGACGAGGGCAGTCTGTACGCTCCCACCAACCTGACCACGGACGATGAAGCATGGGGATGGCTCTCCAATCTCTATCCCGGGCTCAACGAAAGCGATAGAGAGGTCTTCTCCCGGCTGTATCCGGATCCCGAGACCGATCCTGCAAGCCCTTTTGCAGACTCCCGGGGCCAATCTGCTCAGTTCACCCGACTCACTGCGGTTTACGGCGAAACGTCCTACATCAGCGCCTCTCAGGAGATTGCGACGCGTCTGTCTGCCGCAGAAGTTCCCGTATGGAAACTGCACTGGAACACCAACAACAGCGTGGCCTCATACCTCGGGATCTCGCATGGCTCTGACGTTCCGTATGCCTGGGCCGAGCCGGATACGCAATACCCGCAAGCTGGGACCATTCTATCTAGATTCTACGCCAGCTTTGTTGTTAGTGGTGACCCGAATAAGTTCAAAGCTGCAGGCGCCGCTGAGTGGAAGAACTACCTTGAACCAGGCTCAGACGGTCTGGGGTGGCAGGTGAACGTGAGTAAGAATGAGACATGGCTCGAGAAGGATGACATTCGAAGGGAGGCCATCGAGTACTGGAGATCCATCCCGGAGAAGCTGGATCATTAGCCTGAGTATCAAGCCGTTTAAATGACATATTCTGTACCACAAAGGCCCAGTCGTCTCGAACTGAACAGCTTTTCCTCCTGCTAAAGGTCACGTGCAGCAAACGACATCATCTTTCTTTGATGCTCCATATCCTCTCAGATTTCTCCAGCAGGCGTGTCTGCATTTCCAAAATCTTCACCTTCGAATTGCTGAGTTCAAGGCACGTCTTAATAGGAAGGTACTACTTGCGGTGTCTTCTTCGTTCCCTTTGACGGATACTGGAAGCAGGCAGGAGCAACCAGCCCCTTCCATTTCAACCTCCCACCTCTCTCTCACGCCTTCTCAGTCTCGACTCTTTCTCCTCACTCACTCGCCCTCATTTCTCACTGAGATTTCCCTGGTCAAGTTCATTTCTCTTTCATACTTTTTCACTCTCACAACTGTCAACCGATCTATGCTTCGCCTAGCCCCGACTCCAATCAAACTACCGATCTGCCCGAACGAAAGAGCCGGATTTTCGCCAATATAAATACCAATAGCCCACCTCTTGACGACTCGGAGATCATTCTTCACGATGTCTCAAACTCCCTTGATCATGATGGTCTTCGGAGACCGCCGTCGTCTCACCGCCCGTCCAGAAACCTACCCTCAACTCATGAATGACGCTCGGAATGCCTTTAGGGCAAAGCGGTCAACTTGACTGTTCATTGCACTTCGAAGTCTAGAGAACCGGAGTTTGAACTTGATCAGTCAGCATACAGAGCGGTCGAGGACGGGTGGGTCCTTCGCTTGGAGCCAAAGGCTGCTCCGATCATCAAGCTCGAGGATAAACCTCAAGAGGCGCCCAAGCGGAAACGAGCGTGCTCTGGTGACATCGCCGGATCAGCCCTGATGGTCATTAATGTCAATGTCAAGACTTATAAGTTTTTGAGCACGAAAATGAGAAAGTTTCAGATAGCCAGCTGATACGTTACTGGAGTGACTGGCGAAAACTTTTCGTTGAGGATCTCACCAGCCGCCACCGTCGAAGAATTCGAAACTGCCGTAGAGGCCAGAGTGGGTATATGCCCTGAAGAATATGACATTATTTTCAATGGCCTGCAATTAGACTATGACGAAACATTGGAGAGGTACTCTGTCACCGACAACGACACTCTCAATTTGATTCGTACGGGGCTCAATCGGCAATCTACCTCTTATTAACCCTCCCGCTTGAGAGTGCCGACGCCAGGGCCTTCCCGAAGGACACCGCCGCAAACATGGAGTGCGGCTACCTATCCTGGGAAGTTGATGCCTTGGTCAACCCATTACGCGAAGTCACAGAGACTTGTACCTTCAACCCCCAAACCCCTTTAGCATACTTCGCCAACAACTACGTCCTATCCTTCGACGACTTTGTATCTTACCTCGACGGAGCTCTATTGCATTCAACTTCATCCCGCAGACCGACTTGGACAAGGCAGCAAAGTCGACCGTCACTCTGAACCCGAACACCATCGCCAAGGTCTTTCTCGTCTTGAGAGGCGTAGTCAGTGGTAAGAACGAAGATAATCGTGCGAAACTGGAGAATTTTGACTAGTTCAGTATGGTCGGCACCGACGTGGACGGGATGGAGGACCAGAGCAAGTTCCGCGTCATTGAGTGGGGAGGCATGGAGGCGAACCTGGAGCTAGAATAATTAAGACCCTCTACTACTTGGCAGAACAGCATGCCTGATGTCTCAGGGCAGGCCAAACATCAAGCGATTGCGAGCTACAGCAGTTTACGGTCGACATGTGGACTCTGGACAGGGAGGTCTAATCATTTCAAGGTCTAATGGTGGGGAGCACGAGTTCATGGATTTGCCTAAGAAATCAACGCGTTTTCTGCATATCGTGAACTGAGAAGGATATGAAAGTATATGCTCCGCCTTTCAAAGTCTCCATCTTATTCTTCCGTATAATAACGTATCTGCAATAATCCCGTTCCACGAACACAAAGGGTAACAATGTTGCAAGACTTCAACTTTTATTCCGCGACATACGGGTACGTCAAAAACCATCGACTGCCAGAGCGTTTCAAACAAACAACAACAAGGCTAGAAGACCGAAAAAGCTTGACGCCAACCGGGGAGCCCCACTAGTTGGAGACGCGCTCGGTGTAGTAGTTGTCGTGGTCGCCGGTGCCGATGGATCAGTGATAGGCGAAGAATTCGTCTCGAGCGTCGCCGCTTCAACCTTGAGGTTCGTCGAGTTGAAGCAGTTATCCGCTGTCACCGGGGTAACCTTGGACGCGTCTTCCGTAAAGATGATATCGACACACTATCACAGTCAGCCACACGATCTCATCTCGCACTTTCCCATCCCAGTAGTGTTGCGCACTTCCACGAGGCATGAAATATTTGGGAAGACGGTAACACTTGGTCAGACAACGTACGCTGAACAACGCCGCACCATGCTGTGCGGCCTCCACGACCTGTATCGACGCCAAATCACCCTCCTTGGGCGTCACACCAGCCGGCAGCGGCACCTTTGGCAGACAGAACGTCCCCTCGTACTCCTGGTTCGAGGGCCCCGTCAGCTGGAACCGGGGCACCATGACCATGGAGTAGTTCTTCGGCGACTCGCCGAGGCCGAGGTTGATGTACATGAGCGCCGTCTTGTGTCCCGAGTTCCAGCCCGGTTGGACGGCGAGGGCGCCGCCGCTGATGGGCCAGTGGGTTCTGTTTTGCGTCACGCCGAGGCCGCCACCTGCGTGGTGAGGGGTTCACGTCAGCCTTTGGATAGCTAAAGATGCGTGCTCTTGTCTTTGGTCTGTGTAGCAAGACGTAAGAGAGCTTGGTGACGTACATGGATAGGTCCATTGCATTCCGAAGGGGTATGTCTCATTTGTGATGAAGGTGTTACCTCTCCATCCTGGGTAGGAGAGAACTGTGTGGCCGTGGGCTAAGGCCACAAACAGCCAGCATGTGGCAACTACGAAGCTGGAAAAGGTCTTCATAATGGACTGTTGATGGTTAAAGTTGGAGGCTCAAGTCTCCGTCAAGCTCTCCCCCCGCAACTGGGCATCCACTTCTTCTTAAGCAACATATCAAGGCCAGAATTAGACACAGCGCAGGTGCTGTGACGTGCCGTTTGCATATGCCAATGTCAGCAACATGACTGCTGAGCTGCTGTGTCGCCAAATGACGGTGGTCGGTGGTCCGGTCGAATAGAGCCTTGTCGTCGTGATGCATGTCAGCCCTACCAAGGGACGGACGTCGAATGGCTGGAGCGCTGATGGAGGTGGCTTACGCCAGCGTCAGCACCGGCTGACGGCCTTGGTCTTTGAGCATAACTCTAAACTACGCGGCCCGTAATGGTAACGGCTGGGACTTACCGACGACAAAATGTGTATATTTGGCACTACCTAGAAGAAAGCATTCACTTGTTTCGTAAACTCTCCTCGATGGACATTGATATATGATGACGAACGCCCTGTGTAGCTCTGCATCTATTGGTATGGGCCATCGTTATCTCTTTCGCATGAAATCCAGTTCCCTCCAATGATCAACTGACCCCGAATGTACCTACACTCACTATGTCTCAAGCATGCTATTCAAGGTAGAAGAAAGTAGACCAAAGGTCAGCGATAGTCGTTGACTTGGGAATATGGGAGCCGCGCGACTGTCAAGCCCTTTTCAGAATATGTTGTGCTTCCTAAGAGTGCTCGTCAACCTGCCTCCATACACAGCCGTAAAGACGAAGAGCAGGGTAGCCTTCAACCTGTGATCATCATTCCGATTACCGTACCAGATGATATTCATGGTGCTTCATGCCCACCTGAAAATATCTAGTCTTGCCTGTATGGTCCGGCGGGTTTCGGCAAAACCCGCCAATATCGGAGATCACCTCAGGGGTTTGCAGCATCACATCTAGAGATTCCAGCATGTCATGCCTCTCTGACGTTAAAGAAAACTTTGACAGGGCTTTAGGGCTGCACTATTGGAAGCTCTATTCCAAACAAAGTAGCGATACCGAAGTCTTCTCCTCCCAATCCTTCCGCTCGCGGGTGGCGAGTCTCCAGCAGCCTAACAGGTGGTTCTTTGCGATCGAGCCTCATTGCCAAGACCGACCATTTCTTCTGTTGGTTCAACTGTCACCACTGTTTTGACTCGAACGTAAAAGGGATCGACGTCAACAGGCGCGCCCTGTCGGGCATGTCGGGGAAATATTCGCGCGCAGCCCCCAAACCCGACATCATCTACGGAGCACTTACCAGCGATTGACTAACAACGTCAAACAAGAAAAAGGAGCAGACGGTTAAAACCTTCTAAACGTGGTGACATGTCAGAAGGGTGAAGGGCCAGCCGTGGTTGGCCGACAGAAGGGCGCCCGAGATGCCACCGTCAGCACTAGCGACCGTATGAATGCAACGTAGCGAGGCAGTGCCGGATCCAGCCGCGAACAGGGCCAGAAGAGGCTAGAGAGCAACAGAAAGGAACTACTGCAGGTAGCTAGCTGTATGGTAATTAGGTGGCCAAGCAGTCAATGCAGTGCAGTATTACCGACGGTAGCTGTGTGTGTATCCCTTGCAAGAAGGGAAATTTGAATCGCGGCTCAGCGGCAACGGCTACCGGTTTATCGGCGTTCGCTGTCTCTGAACGTACAAAGTAGCTGACGGGAAATCACTGCTGGATTGCGGCACAGCTAATAACTCTGGTGGTTTACGGATGCAGACTATTGCATGAGACGAGAAGGAGAAAGGAGGGGAAACATCTCGCCGTGACTTAAGCCCAGACTCTCTCTAAGCACAGCTTTGTGTTTTTATGCGGGGAACCAACATCCTTCTGTGGACTTGTGGTTCTGAAAGCTGTCTTATGTACTGCGTACCCGACTGGCCAACCCATCCAACTTGCCATGGTGAGAAGGGATCGATAGAACCGTCAAGTTTGCCCGACTTCACGATCACAAAGAGTTGTCATGTAAGAGCAACAGGATATTAAACGTTGCATGGATGGTAAAGACCCGAGCCAAATCCTTTGAAAGTTTGAAACCTCCCAGTTGTTGTTTACGTCCCACATCGAATCACATTCCATCAAGCCAACTTGAAGTCTCCATCGCTGGACCCACGCAATCTTAATGGCTTCGGAGTGTTCCCAGAAGCTTCATTGGTCATAAACGATCAGGCGAGCCCAGGACCACTTAACATGGAACCTCCATCATCCATGAGAAGAAGCCCAGTACCCATGATCCATCAAAACGTCCCATGCGTTCCATACTCATCCATGTTTAAGCGAGTAAATAAGGCAGAGAAAGGGACTTTTTGATCCTAAACCATAGAAAAACGCAAAAAGATATCGGATCGCCATTGATGATTTCCTTTACTGGCATGTTCAGCTCAGACCAGCAACAAAAAAGCCTTGAATCCCTGGCATATTGCAAAAGGCAATCTGCTAGGAACTCCCACCTTCGGGTACGGACAGGGGTTGCCCTGCCGCGAAAACTATCACCCCATGCAACCGTGCGTGCCGCCGTGCAGAGCGCGCGAGTTCAGGTACGGATGGATATCTGCAGGTTGCCGTCCATTTCGAGAGTCTTGAAGCTTGCTCCATCGAGAGCTATGAGTTGTGATGAACCTCGTCCCAGCGGGCCAGCATGTCTCCCTCTTGGGTGCGAATATTTGATACGGTGAATCTGATGTGATGAAAGGGAATGCGACCCTGCTACCTTTTGGAGTGCCGCATTGCCGTTAGACTAAATCTTTTCTCCCTAGCTTCTCGGCTTCGCCTCAACGTGACGCTACGCGCCGTGCTTGTGGCCAGCCGATTCGAGAATTCTCGCCCCCGGCATCATATTCTCACGAAGGAATTGCCGACGGCAGGCAATGGCCGATCATTGCATCACAAACATCTCCTGCCAATATCCCGTTCCATCCCCCTTTCAGGCTTTTGCAGGCAGCAACCGCTAGTAGGTACCAGGACCAAGGTCCACCACTCTACCTAGTCACGACTCACGACTCTCAGCTTCTGCCCTTCTCAGGGGGGCACTGGGGCGAACGACTACTCCGAGTGTAGCCACTTGAGCCACCATCTTGTCTCGGCGGCTCGGCTGGAGGCCACTGACGGGTAGGTACCTTGCGCTAGAGGTCTTGTCGTGGCACACCTGGATAGACTAGAGGCATCGTTCTGTGGTTCCCAACATCGTTCACAGCTCGCCGGGGCGAGCGTGGGTGCATGGGAAGCTGCTGGGCATGCTGGGCGACGTGAATGGAGCAGGGATGTTCATGTACCTGACAAGGGTAGGAGGAAGGATGCAAGTGACGGCCGACTTCCTCGTCAATCTTCAATAAAAGGCATACGCTCCTCCCCTCGAGTCCGCTCATGAATCGAACTCCAAGTGTATCCTGTCTCTCCAACTCTCTTAAGCAGCCAATCCTTAAGACAACATCACGACAACCTACAGTCTTTACAGCCTAAGACTCTCGTTTCCCTCGAAAGACAACACTCCAAATCTCTTCAAAAATGCAGTCCAAGCTCCTCCTCGCCGCCGCCGCCGCCACCGGCGCAATGGCATTCGAGATGTCCGGCACCCTCCCCCGTGTCCTCCGCCGCGCCGGCAACGACGCCCTCGAGGCCCGCGACAAGACTGCCTGCGCCTCCGTCTGGATGGCCCACTCCACCATCGTCGACGACTTCCCCACCGAGCCCACCGCCCTCGC